CTGAACTAGTGCCTGGGAGCTCTAATAAGACAAACAATACTTCACCTGATCGATACTTGTATAAGATGTGCTGTCAGTGCTGTTAAAGTCTGGATCACCTAATCTTGACCGCCAGGCATAGGCATATTTAAACGCTTCGATAATRCGGTGATAGGTGATTGCAGCCTTGCTACTGGAAATATCATCGCTTGTCATATTGTAACCTGTGAATGAAGAGAAAAAAAAGAGTTACATTTCATGAAAGAATTTCCTTAAGTATGAGATTATCAAGCAGTTTTTAAAATGCTTACTACTGAAGGAGCTATTGAATAAAGACGATTTTCAGTCAGTAAACAGGGGYGGATCCAGCTGGTGGGTTCAGGGGGGTGCGCCCTCCCTCCTGAGATCTGTATCCTTCAATAATACTTTCCTTATTTTGTATCTTCGTGGTACTGATTTTTCTGGGGTGCACCCCCTCCTGAGAGCCCCGCACCTCTCCCTGAGGAAAATCCTGGACCCGCCCCTGGTAAATATAGCAAAATTATATAGTGCTAGATATTATCATAGATACATATTCAAATTAAAAACAGCACTCGTTTATATTTTAATAGAGCAAAACTGAAAGTTTATCAAGASATGTGAATGCCTCATTCTAAATTATTTCTATCAATGCTAACCTTTCATAATGTTTAAAATCATTGTTATCACTGCACCACTCGATGGCGGAGCAGTGCTGTACAAATTCAGGTCCGTCCATTCACTTTTCAGAGCTTGCTTCCATTTCGGTCGATAATTCTTGAGATCTTCCTTCGTTATGATGCCATCAGCTCTCTTGACGTCACGTACCACGTCATCAGCTAGACATCCATTGTAAAAGCTCATCGGATTGTCTCGTATCTTTTCCATTGTTATTGCRAGCTGCGGGTTTTTGATTGTTTCACCCAACTGCTTCATCTTGTCACCGTTAAAAAGTAGCTGCCTGAATGAAAATAGAAAAACAAACTTAATATATAACATATTATCAATCAATCCATCAATCCATTAATCAGCAATCACTCACTCACTCAATCAATCACTCACTAAACTCAGTCAATCGATAAACCAGCCAGCCAGTATAGTTCATCACTATAGTTTACTTTGATGGTTTGAACGGAGTTTTGGTCCAAGTGATATCAACTTAAGAATATTACCTAAGCCCATAGTCCTCCTTAACAGCATCAAAACTTAACATGACGGCTTCATAAACAGGAACAGGCAATGGAAAGCCATTTTTTGCTAAATCAATCGAGGGTTGAACAAGATCTTTCCATTCTAACTTGCCATACTTCTTGTGAGCTTCATAAAGACCTATTACTTCTCCAGGTATTCCTGTTGATTTGCCTCCTAACAACGGAAAACATTCAATGATTATAATACAGTATATTATAAAGRACTGTGCCCGTTAACTATTGGACGGACTTGTTACTTACACTCTGTCTAACTACCTTGGATACAGAAAAGGTCTCCGCCCAAAAAGGCCTAGAACACCTGCCTATGATACCATTGTCAAAATCCGAGCTAAAGATGTTATCACTGCCGTGCGCGTAGCGGTCCTATACGCATATACGCACGAGCGTACTAGTTATAAGGAAATATTACAATTTTCGGGAATGTTTTTATATAATTGTCTCGATGCCCCTAAAACGCTGGAAATCGCATTTCCAAGAGTTATTATTTCAAAATTTTCTGGGCGAGGAACCCCACACCCCCTTAATACCGGCCGTTAGTCCCCCAATCCAAAAGATGTGTTGCTGTCCCTACATGTGCGTACTAGCCAAAAAGTTCACACTACGCGCCTGCCTGGTTGCTCATTTTAAATGTCTTGAACAATCCTTCATTCAAAGTGTAATCTAAGGCTAGAGAAGCTTTAACATCATCTGCGAGCAGGGGTGATCAAGGTTTYTTCTCTCTAACTGAGGTGTGAAAATCGATTCCAATACGATGGACGGCAATGTGAAAATTGTAAAAGCCCGGATTTTTAGCATGCATTCTCTCCTCTACCTATCGTAACTTTTTTCTTCCATTGGCGCGTTAATGCTTTATTTATCTTTTTAGTACACAAAACATTAACAATTCTTTTAAAAGTTAAAAATTATTGGGGATTTGGAGGGATGGTCCCCCCAACAAAATTATCATCCGCCGTCCAGGAATACTAACGGAACAATGACAGTTTTTTCGACAAAAAAAGTATTAATATAAATAATATTAAATTAACTAAGAGATACAATACATTACCTGTAGTTGACGAAATATTTTGAAACATGTTTTGTTTTGCAAGTTTTGGTGCTTCTTCTCTATAATCCAAAGTTTCTGCGGTATCAGTAGACTTGKTATATACCAACATAAATCCMCCGCCGCCGATTCCTGCTGAATGCATATTCACGAGTCCAATACAAAACGAACTCGCKATTGCCGCGTCTACTGCACTTCCCTTTTTTTTCAAGATATCGCGACCTATCTCAGAACACTTTCCAGCATCAGTTGCGACAGCGGCGTTATCGTAGGCTTTATTWCCCGCTTCAGGACCAGGGGTAGGGTAGGGGGATTTTGTAGTGCTGGCTGGAGGAGTAGGAGTAGTTGTTTGTACACGTGTTTTCTTCCCTGCATCAGAATCAGCAGTCTTTTGCTGACTTGCAAATCCAAATCCAAATCCTATTCCAATGATGACAATCGCCGAAAATGCTAGAACGCCGATAACTATGTTACGATCCTTGGAGCTGTTATCAAACCAGAGATCATGTATTAATTGAAATAAACATACAAAAACGAGATTTAAATATGATAATATACCGGTAGAACGCGCTTTGTTGTGTTCGAACGCACGTGGCTTTACGTGCTTTGGGTTTATAAAGAGTCCAAAGAGAAGGAAATTTCCTAACTACGGATAGATTTGAAAGCGCTACTTTTATGTACATAGGGATACTGTTATAATATTTTTCCGCCACGAAGAAAGTGATATTTGTTTGATCCCGAGACGTAGAGWTTTCACCKGAGCTACACTGGAATCAGCGTTATGCAACGCAGTTCGACGCTCATCGTTGAATCATTTTACGTTTTCATTCAAGCTCATTACGATTTAGTTAATACGCTATTAAAATATYGGACTAAGATTACATGCCATCTATTGAATCTAAATTCTACAAAGAAGCCTTGAGCTTAATCTTCCTCGTGCATAAAAAAACATTTAAAACGCTACATAAACGATCTGTGTTAGTTGTATTTTAATAAAAAATAAAATACAACAATTAGCTAATACAGTAGAGATGATGATAATAATCATGATAATCTATCAAATTCTAAATTTTCATTATAGTTCTATAGTAGTGAAGGTGATAACCCTGTAACAACATATTGAGTATTTCGAAATGTTGACCTTTAGTAATTTTAGGTCAAAAGCTATGATTGCTATATAAGACTTATATATATTGCTTATTGCTATAAGTACGGTTTACTAAAGTCTTATGTYCATATAATAATCGCACGAATCACCCTAAAACGAGTTTTGCACTGTTGTAGTTTCCTAAGCGGAACAAGTATTATTATGCACGTTATGGTGTGTTCTCAGGACACGGTTTGTACCCTACACTACGTAATGRACTTACTTCATAGCCATGGTTGCGTTACGTAGATTGCTCCACCACTTTGATGTAGTTATGGATTATAATAGACAATTGTTTTGTATTATTCAATGATAAAGACCAATACACGCTCGAACCCTTAGTGAGTCAGCACGCCGCGGTTGCTCRATTTCCTTGGTTACACGGCTTTTTAAACWGAGTATATCRATGTCGTCATAAATCCAGGTTGATTGACAGCAGCAATTATTATTATGTCGAATGGTTTTTACTTCTCTTCMCAAATCAAGAAATCGTGGAAACCTAAGCAAAAGCGCCGGTAAAAGCGTTTTACAACAGCGAGAGACCACTGGATTTTTGGTACAYTRGCTGGTGGTGCTATTATTACTGGCCTTATGCATTTATTGATAAAATGTGGAATCTCAAGGGCCTGGTAAATAAATAAGTACAGTTAAAACYAGCAAAAAAGAAAATATCTTTATGTGCAATGACAAAATAATAATTACAATAATAATAAAATTTGAATTAAAATTTAAAAAGATAAAAAATCAAATGACGATAAAAACAAATAGAAAAAATGATAATACTGAAGGTTAATAAAAAAGGTAAGATAAAATAAARAAAAAGAGAATTAAAGAAAAAACGACTGTTCTGAGACTCGAACSCATGACAAAGAAATCGAAAAAGTTTGGGACGATTCCCCCGAGACATTCTGTGAAGCTGAGGCGTCGAATCGATTTACATTCCGGTTAGAGATTTCGGCTCTTCCATGCTATCCCGATAATTGGTCCTAACTTCGCGCTAACTAAAAAGCCAGTGAGGGAGAAGCTATCCGGCCCCTAGACACTGATGGATAACCCCTTGCACTAACTAGGCAACTATCGAAARTATAATGTCAAATTGGGGTAGTCTATTCGGTGAAAGTGTCAAGTGGTCTATTATTATGTAAATGAGCGTGGTCCTCTAGTCCAWGCGGTTAAGTCGCTGTGCTGGAATCCAGTKTCACTCAGAGGTGACGCAAGTTCGAATCCCACACATATCAATTTTTTGTCATTAATCTTTTCTTTTTATTTCATTTTTTTATTTCATTTTATTATTTATTTTTTTGTTTCCTGATAATTTGTAWGTATTTGTGTGACTTTATGGCAGACAAACAAACAGCAAAAGTAATAATAATAAAAAAAAAAGAAAAAAAAATGAGGCTAACATTTTATAAATTGTCCTCCGTCTTTGTTATTATCATAGAATGATAATCGGGGAAATAAATATACAGAATATCAGAAAATAGGAAAAAAGTATACTAGAACGACTAGAACTAGAGTATAGCTGGCCAGCGGTATAGACCAATTTATCCACGTGACCTGTACTATTTTCAGGCCTGACGGGTCGGTAGTAGTGCAGTTGCAAGTCAGACAAATGTCTAGAGTTTTGGTGGAAAAAATACATGCATTTTATTTCTAGCCTTTCAAACTATGCGTAAATCAAAGAGCTAGAAATGCCTATTTTATCCAACCCAGTTGGGAGTCTTCGACCTCAGCCGAGGCTTGATTTGAAATGGTTCAAAACTGATGTTCAGGTAAGATTTTGCTTCTGACATTATTCAACATCTTTGTGCATTAAGCTTARTAATTTCCTCTCTCTTTCTTTATAAAAATCAGGCTCAATCCAAAGAAGTAATAGCTTTAGTCAGATTTACTGTGCAATTGTTTATGTTGAAGTTTACTGTATGAGATCGGTGTGCCGGTCCAAAGAAAGGAGTATCAAGTTTACGTTTTTCAATGAGTGTGCTTATTCCTAAGTTGAATTTTTAAAGAAGAAAAATGTAAAAAAAAGTTKAATAAGATATGAAAATACACTGGGTTAATACGTTCAAAATGAGTTCAAATAAACTAAAGGTTAAAATCAGCAATTTAACAGCTCATTTGGATGCTGAACAACAATTGTACAAATTATTCAAAAATTTGGCCTTCGTTTTTTCTTTCGTCAAAACATCTTATTTTATGCAAAAAAGAATTGGCATTTATTCAAACATTTATTATTTCATAATTGWAAAATACTTGTTTTGAGTGTGGCTCAGAGAAAATCAGATCAAGGTGTCAATTTGTCATTAAACATCTGAGCATTTATTTATATTAGCTTRTATTCTCTTTTCAAATATTTTTAATGGTTTTGGAAATCACTTAGCTACAGTACATTCTGTGACAGGTCGTACTCTTTGTGTCATCTAATTGTACCTTTAGTTGAATATGTATTTTTAGTTGAATGTTTTTTATATTTTAGTATAATACAGCAGACATTACATGTTGAAGTATTGCTTCCAGGACTAAGTGGAGTGGAATCCCATATATTTTGGCAAAAAAATTATGTATATTTGAATTAGAATCTGTGTTATTTTATGTTTGTTTTTATACTAGCATTAAAGTTATTACAATACAGCTGTAGGTTAAGTTCTTGTTCTGTCCATATATCATTTGATTTATGATTTTTTTTCCCTTTTTGGCTGGTACTCACAACAGTAGAAACAATTGCTGTGCATTTCAAGAGGGAAATAATAGAAAGTGAGCCAGTCACTGAGGGTGGTCACTGACATTAGGATCTAACCATTTTCAGGTGGAAAAACAATTAWTTTGGGACCCTGAGTATTGGTCCAGTCTAGGACAAACACTTTGACTTTGYATACAATACACYAGAGCTCTATCTACTGCACTAAATACAATCGTTGACAAAATCTGTGGACCATTCCAGYGAATATCCTCATTTTAAACAATACCTGTAGACAATTTCATCCCCTCTGACCCCTTAAATGCAATGTTGCCATTGAGCATGTAGATAACCATCCAAAACAAGAACCGACATTGATGAAAGGGGGCTAAGGGGGAGAACAGTAAAAAAATAAAAGAGAAAACTGTTAGGCTGGAGACAAATAATTCTATGATCCAAGGTTTTTTGGTAACAATTGTAGCTACATGTATCAGTTGTTTTCTAATAGATATCCTTTGTATTTAGATTACCTTTGCTCCTGATGGTCTGAAAAGRTTRTGGAATGAACTGGTCAAAGATGGTGAAATACCAGCTAATCCTAATGACATTAAAGTCAACAGTGCAGGGGTTCCAGCGCAGAAGGGTGATAGCGGCCACTACTACTGTGGRCGTACCATCTTAACATGCTCATGCTGTGATGGMAATTGTGGACCTGACAATGGCTGTAATTGYTCGGCATGTCAGAAGTTAGACCAGGAAGAGAGAGAACAGAAAGAAGAGGAAGAACAACAAGCTGTCTCTGTTGGAGTTATGATGGACTCCTGGACATGGGGAAAACAACCATCTGCAAACCAACTGCAAGAAGCATTACAAGCATTGATATTTGAACAACATGAACTTGCAAGCCAAGCTGCTGGAACCACACTTTCTGCTATTAGACTTCAACAGAGATTAGCTGTTTTAGGAAGATATTTTATCTCCTTGTCACGRCACAAACAAAGACTTGATAAAATTAGAGAGGAAAAACTTGAAAGTAAAAGYAGGGATATGATTGCTCCTAGAGCTAAGTCAAGGTAGTTGCTCATAAAATGTATAATAGATTCCATGTAAAACGTTTCTGTCTACCTTATTTTGTTGCGAGTACTATGTTTTCTGACTTTMTTGATTTTGGAAAAATTGTAAAATTTTATACTCAAAGTATAGTACGCACAAAAATTAAACTTGTGAAAGTTTGAATGTTATTAAGTAGTTTTACTGTAGAATGCCATACTTTCTGTTTTGTTGCGCTTGMCAATGCCTGAGGTCAAAGTTACATATTTAAGATATTTAAGAGAGTAAATTTACAATGCATTTTTGTATATTTTAGGAGAATTTTAGGCAAGGAACAAGCTTCTCTTGGTCTTGCAAGAATAGGTGCAAGAGCAGCTTTGTCATTTGCATTTGCTTTTCTTCGACGAGCATGGCGTTCTGGAGAAGATTCAGATTTGTGTCAAGAGCTGCTTGATGAGGCACTTGAAGCATTGCAGGAACTACCAGAAGCAACTCTATTTGATGAATCTGCAGTATCTCCTGTGTGGCTTGAGGTAGTAGAAAGAGCAACTAAATTCTTGAAATCAGTTGTAGCTGGGTAAGTATCTTTCTAGCATTAACAGTTATATAATATAAACCCATGTGTGTCCATCAATCTGAACCTCCCTCCATTCCTCCCTCTCTCCTTCTATCCCTTTCTCATTCATTCATTCATTCATTCATCCATTCGTTCCAACATTCTTTCGTTCTTTAGAAACCCATATATTCTATTACTCAAATTGAATGTTATTCAGTAGTCTAACCAAATGTGTCCAATTCCGCAGCAAAGGAAATGAAGATAAAGTATACTGCAAACCTCTAGACTCTGTCCCAGTCTGTGATCAACATGTAGCTTTAGGAATCTTAATTGAGCTTGCAATTCAACGTGGAACACTGCAACACATGCTTGAAGCTGTTCTTCTGCTTCTAGAGTTATGGGACAATGGACAAGATAATGATACAGACGCCTCATTTACTAGTGCTCCTCTTGTTGGGCTTTTGAAACGTTTTCAAGAGATCCCAGGAGCTCCATCTAAAAGTATCGAATCCAGTAAATTATCTGAAGAGGTAAGTTTCAATGGTATCATTGTTAATGTGGGTTTAGAGTATAAATTTCACTTGTATGAACGTTTTGGTTGTATGAGGTTCCTGTGTAACTCTCTCATACAAAACTCTCCACTAGGGACTACGTTTTTCCCAACATCTAAGGCCACTTAGTTAGTTAACTGTAATTATGTATTTAATAATCATTTGATTGGTTACAGAGCATAACAACTACTTCTCAAAGAGTGAGTCCTACAGAATCTTTCTTGAGGTATCTTGCCCTTCCTGATGATGAGACAGAATTCATAGAGCTTCAACATGCTGCAGTGGTTCTTATATCTCATTTAGACAGATTATCAGCACCTTATACTCCACCATCTTCAAACCAAATGGTACATTTCTATTATATATTGCTTTGTGTTTATTCTACTATTTTATATTACATGTATATTTGTATGACACCGATATTTTTTATTAGAATGTGCTGTTGTTATTGTTGTTGTTGCTGCTGCTGCTGCTGTTGTTATTGTTGTTGTTGTTGTTGTCGTTGTTGCTGCTGCTATTGTTGTTACTGTGTGTTACTGTTATTGTAATTACTATTGTTGTTATAGATTGCCGTTGTTGTTGTTTAAATTGCTGTTGTTACGGTAGGCTGTAGGCTGTTTCTGCTGTTGTAGTTGCTGTTAGTGCTACTGCTGCTGCTGCTGTTGTTGTTATTATTATTACTGTTGTTCTTGCTGTTGTTGTTTATGTTTGGTATGAAATGGATATAGTGTGGTATTGACTGCTTGACTTTTACCATTGTCCAGGTATCCAGTGTTGCACTAGTACAAGATGTTCTTGGGTTTGGATGGCTTAACTGGAGTAACACAGGACACACATCAGGACCRAGTACATTACACAATCTTGTTGAATTAGGTGTTAAACAAATTTGTTGCTCTGAGAAGAGCATATTAATATTGACCAGAGCTGGCAAGATTTACACTCACCCCTACTCCTCTGAGGGACAGGTATGCTATGTTTTCTAATGCCTGGTTCATACGTCGAGCCAGCCTTGCACTAAACCAAATAGTTTGAATTTAGCGATGTCTGAATCATTTGAGTTTGGCATGACTGTAGCACGGCAGCTGACTACAAATCTGCTTTGATGTGTTAATCAACATTTGGGCCGACATCAATCGACTATTTGGCTCAACGAATGAACTGAGACAAGTACATTTAATGAAAAATAATGTTATAAATTGTAAGTAGTTGTAGTTGGTAGAGGAGTTCTTTCCAAGCTATTCAATAAAACTAATCATAGCAATTAGATTGAGCTTGGATAATCATGAGCATGAACAGATGAAATGTAAGTGTTTAATCAAACCTTTTATACTTCAGGGACCAGTGTTACTTGAATCTCTGTCCAGGCGCTGTGAAATTGTGAATGTAAGTTGCCACCCAGAAGGCAAACATTTCATGGCTTTGACAAGAGAAGGAGARGTTTACTCTTGGGGTAGTGGTGACGGAGGCAAACTAGGACATGGTGATACTAGGTAAGTCTCAGTTGCCATCATCATCATTGTCATCAGCATCATCATTACATCATATCAGCCGGTGGGTTCAGATTTGATTGGTAAAAGTGTCTTTTAGCTTAAAAATGTCCACTCACACATTACGATATGACCTATTAAAGTGAAATGTTGACCAGGTATTTTCTATGATTTGTCCTTTTTTTCAGCTCGTATTGTGAAAATAAATAAAATAGCTACAAATAAGATGCTCACCTGTTCTTTCTTTTGATTTTTGCTGATAATAGAACAGGCAAAAATTTTTAACAGAGAAAGTAAGGCTATTATATACTGATTGTATAAATGACCCTCTCTCTAGTACCCGCGATGACCCAACACTGATAGCTGGACTTGCWGGAAAACATGTAATTCAGATATCAAGTGGTAGTACCCACAGTGCTGCRGTCACCTCTGAAGGAGAGCTTTATACATGGGGCAGAGGAAACTATGGACGTCTTGGACATGGTAATATTTGTACACACAAAAGTGACATTTTTCACAATTTGGGCAATATTTCTGTAAAAAGTGAATTTGAAAATGCTTAAAAGAAACTGTTAATTGTACTTTTCTTCCTGGGATGTGCAAATGTTTCAATGTTAACAAAATTTGCAGTAATTTTTCTTTGTTTTGATGTGGGTTATTGGCTCACATTACAATTATTTTAATGTGATTTTAGGGACCAGTGAGGATCAGTTAGTTCCTATGTTAGTCAGTGGGTTAAGAGGTCATCATGTGATTGATGTAGCCTGTGGAAGTGGTGATGCTCATTCTTTAGCAGTAGCTGATGATGGTAAATATTATTAATATTTATATTTTAATATTATCAATAAATTGTACAGTTTATTATGCCGGTTGATTATTTTCGTTGATTATGACTCCTCTGCAGTTGTCTGTCATCCTTTCAACTCCTCTTTTTTCTTTTGGGTTTCCTGTTTTCGTCAATATGGCTATAATGGAGACTGTGACTGGGAAGGCCAACAATTGGCTGAGAGCATCCCAGAGGGATCCCAAAAGGGCAAAATGAAGTGTTGACTGCAGAGGAGGCTAGAATGTGCGGTACCTCATGCGACCATTCTTTGAAGAATTTTATGTTATCTTATGTTATCTTATGGGACCAGAATATGATATCTAAGATTATTTGATACTAATACCATGGACATGTTTGAAAAATAAAGAAACTGTGTTGTTTTCAGGTACAGTATGGTCATGGGGTGATGGTGACTATGGTAAACTTGGTAGAGGAGGAAGTGATGGAAGCAAGAGTCCCAAGGCCATTGATAGATTACAKGGTTTGGGTGTGGTCAGAGTTTATTGTGGAACCCAGTTCTCCTTGGCATTAACAAGAGATGGCTCTATTTGGACATGGTRTGCAAAAAACATGGCTGTAAAACATTATTATTTTCGTTATTTAGGCAACTATTTTTGAATGTTTTGAATAAAAATGATTGTGTCACTGATTGTAGCATAGACTCTGTCACAGACTGTCATAGAATGTCTTTGATGTTATACCATGTAGGAAAGGGTTGAAAGAAGACGGTACATAATGACTAATAGAACATCTTGGTCATGGCGCAACTGTGTCGCAGTTTTCGCTTTTGCACTAGACAATGAMATTGTAGTTTAGTTATAATATAGTCTGAATATTTTTGTATTATTAGGGGTAAGGGTGAAGGCTTTCGTTTGGGCCATGGAACAGAGGAACATGTTCGCCACCCTAAAGTAATAGAAGCACTTTATGGCAAAAGAATAGTTGATGTATCAGTTGGCTTGATCCATTGCATGGCAGTTACTGATGACGGGGAAGTATATTGCTGGGGTCGTAATGATCAGGGTCAGCTTGGTGATATTGAGTGTCAGGCAAGAGCCGTACCAACCATTGTATCTGGTCTTATGGGTAAAGGAATAACTGGTATTGCTTGTGGACCAGCACAGGTATGTGATAAGTTTGTTTATTATAATATTAATATAAGAATAGGATATGGCTACAATGGGAGAACAGTGTTTCTTGTATTTACATTAGTTTTTGTTATGATAGTGTTTCTGTTATAAGAAACTGTTGAAATACTTTTAATTTTATTTACTAATTTGACTAGTTTGGCTAGTTTTACTAGTTTTACTAGGTTGACTAGTTTGATTAGTTTGGCTAGTTTGACTGGTTTGACTAGTTTGACTGGTTTGGCTAGTTTGACTGGTTTGACTAGTTTGACTGGTTTGACTAGTTTGACTGGTTTGACTAGTTTGACTAGTTTGGCTAGTTTTACTGATTTGACTAGTTTGACTAGTTTGACTAGTTTGGCTGGTTTGACTAGTTGTAATAATTTGTTTGTGTGCTGCAGTATTTATTCGTAGTTCTTTTAATGTTTTGTTGGATGATTATATTTTTAGAGTTTTGTGTGGTCATCAACTGGACACTGGAGTGTAGGAACAAGAGTACCGTTTACTGTTGATGTCAGYCAAAGGACCTTTGAATTCCTTGATGCTTTATTAAGAAGAGTCAGTGAAGACCTTACAGGATCACAAGACTGGCCCCCACCCCCACAGGAAAAAGAGTGCATAGCTGTTGCTGCTTTAAACCTGTTGAGATTGCAGGTGTGTACATCATTATTTATTGTTACTTCGCCTGAAAAAATGAAAAGTTTTCTGTTGTATCTGCTTATTCATTCAGTTTGTTTCCATTGTTTTTTACATGTTTATTTGTTATTTAATTTTGTCATTTATTTATTCTGTTTGTACATTATTACTCGGGGTTCCTGTGGAACCGCCGAGTTTAAATTTCGGGCTTCTTATTTTTTTTCTTATTTTTCTTCTTATTTTTTTTCATGGTCGCTTATCAGTCACAAATTGTCCACAGGTAGCCCAAGCTCATAATCACGTGATATTYTAAAWATKCTWTTTAGAGRCCAAATTRGYGAAATATTATTATTGTCCTCGATAGAACATCTAAATTAAAGTATTATYGCGAAATTTTGAGCCAAAATAATGCTTTTTAACAGAAATACGAGCAAACGAAGTTGGTAAGATGTATGGAATTATCACGGCTCAATGCGTTTTAGACGGGTCAAGAAATACCTACAAAAGGCTGTGTTTTAAGATCTAAATGAGTTTTTCATGTTCATGGCCAAAAGCAGCATATAATTCCCAACAGTTATGCAAAGTTTGAAGTCAAACTGCGATTTTTTAGCAAAAATATAAGCGTTTGAATATGGTCTTACTTTACAAGGGAATGTATGGGAAAGCTCTGATGGTGTACTATCCAGTACACAACCACGCGGACAGTAACTCCGAGTGTCGAAATGAGCTCAAAACTAATGATTTTGCTTCAGTTTTCACTAACAATATCATTCTAAAAATTTAATTTAATGCTGAGACTATACTTGTTGATTTTTTCGCCGTTAGTGAACGGCGAAATGAAGGCATACAATGATGTTCTGACACGGCTTTTCGCCGTTAATTATAACTAAATCAGGGCATACATTGATATTCTCACACGGCTTTTCGCCGTTAATTAACTGCAAAATCAGGGCATACATTGATATTCTGACACGACTTTTCGCCGTTAATTAACTCCGAAATCAGGGCATTCATTTGTTCTCTGACATGGCTCTCACTAACCGGTGGCGAAAAAATCAAAAGTCAATGATATTCTGCTCTAGCAATCAGAGTAGAATCAGCGCCCATCACGATATTTTGCCCTGTGTTGTG